ACTTTTTTAAATCTGCACTAAGTTAAAATTTATACTGAAAAAATATATTTTAAATTAACTAATCATCTATTTGTGTTCAACTTTTTCTTCTTTCTAAAGAATATTTTGATCTAGTTTTTAAATATTATATTAAATGTATGTGAAATTAATATATAGGTGAAGTGTGTATCTTATCTACCATTATAAGTTACGTTGTAAATGAAAAGAAAATTTTATTTGTTTTAAGTTCAGTAGTCAATATAATTTTTGAAGAAATATGTGAAATTTTATTCGTTACGAAGTATTTTTTTATATTAAATAAAGTTATTATAATAATAATTAGATCAAAATTTTATTACTAAATGTTAAAAGTTCTCATTTTTAATTTGTTTTAGTTTATTTTGATTTATTTTTGTTTTCTATAAAAATGATTTAATATCCTTTTTATTCAATTGACTAATTTTTAAGCTTAATTGGAGTCCGAGCAAAATATTATGGTAAAATTTTACTGAAAATTTTGTTAGTTAAAAAAGAAACTTTTCTTTTTTCCATTATTAATTTTTATTTTATGCAATATTATATTTATGTTTCAATAATTTTATTAAGTTACATAATTTCTTATATTATATCATAAATTAGTCGAAGGAAAGTTTGATTCAATTCTCTTGATGACATGGCTGATTAGGTGTCAAAAAACATTCCAGTCATCACGCCAAATGTCGCAATTCTGAGAATTCAACTCTCAAATATTATATTTAAAGGATTGCATGCTTCACGTTTTTTTTGTTAGATTTACCAAATCTTGATCATTAATGGACACCAAGCATGCTTGGTAATATTCCATGTATCCCTCACATTAAATGCTACACTGTAAACGAAGTAATCAATACTTATCATCTTAGAGCCCCACACAATTTAATAATTACGGAGTATTTAATTCGATTACATCTTCAAGTACAATTTTAAAATTAACTAAATATATTTCCATAATTAGGTCATTTAGTATAATTAATTTCCGTTTTTATTAAAAAAAAACTTTGTGTCATTCTAATAAGTATGATTTTTTTATATTTCGTATCACACACACACACACACATATATATAAGGTTTATATATTCTTACTTTACTTTTTAAGTACTCTTCAAAATTATGTTATAAATTCTTACTATAGATATACTCTATTTACTGCAAATAAATCTATTATGTATTTTTTGAGAGCAAAATATACAATATGATTTTTTAACAAATGTTGAAAGAAAAATATATATACATATATATGTGGTACGTTTGGGCAATTAATCCTACATTGGGCCACACACCTAGATTTAGTGATCATTTTTCTATATTGCATGCTTCACGTTTTTTTTGTTAGATTTACCAAATCTTGATCATTAATGGACACCAAGCATGCTTGGTAATATTCCATGTACCCCTCACATTAAATTCTACACTGTAAACGAAGTAATCAATACTTATCTTCTTAGAGCCCATAGCTGCGTTTCATTTAATAGAGCAATCTTATTATATATATTATATATATATATATATATATATATATATATATATATATATATATATTTGCAATTTACCCTAAATATTTTTTCTCAATGTACCAAATATTTATTTTAAAAAATTTTTCGCAATGTATTTATTCTTTCATACACTATACATTTCTACACGAAAAATAATTTTATATACACAAATATGTTTTGTAGATCTTTTGACTTAGTTTTTTAATATGTAATTTTTATAGCTTATTGATATAACAATTTATAAATAAAATGATTTTAAAAAGTAATTCAAAATTTGCATACCCTTTTAAAATTTACCTATAGCTTGTAGGCAACATACTATATAGTAATTCGAAATTTGCATACTGATTTAAGCTTTTAGGCAACAACTTTATTCAAATTTCAAATGACACCTTCCCACGCGCATGTTTTAAAATCAAAGTGTCACGCAAATAGAATAACATAATTCTTGATTAATTAGAGTAGAAAATGACGACAAAAGACAAATTCAGAGTACTTTAGGACATCGCCTAGGAATTACATACCACCTTTTGAAACCAACAAAAAACAAAAACTAACAAAAATAACAAAGGTTGTTAAAGGTGGTTAAAACTAACAACACTTCATGGAGCTTCACAGGCTGGCGGGATCCTTCTTGGTTTTCTTGGCCTCATTAGTAGATGATTTATCAAACAGCTCTCTCTTCACCGAGTCATTTTTGACCAACTCACCAATTCTTTTCGACTTGTTGTTGACACTCTGGGTGGAGCTTGGATCACTCGAACCAACTTAATAAAAACACAACTTTAATTAGTAACGTATAAATTTAAAAATTTTGGGATAACGTAACCGTGATAAAAATATTACCACTTCATGAACTTTCTGACTCAAATCCTCAAGAGATGCCCACAATCCTTCGCTTTCTTCATCAATTCCTTCATCTTCGACAACACTCAAGTCTTCATATTTGCTCAAGATCTTTGAATCTGTGACCAAAGATCTAACTCCAAACGCTCTTGGTCTAGTCCAGTGTTGACTCCCCTCTTCGGCTTTCACTTGAATATGAAACAACCCTCGTAGACCAAGCAACCGATTAAGTTCAGCAGGGAGGAAATTCGAGTCCATCTCTTTCTGTAGAAAATCGATTAAAATTATATTTATCAGGGATATTAGTTTAGACTAACTTTATTTGTTTAAAAAAATATTGATGTATTTCAAATCTCGAGCATGATTTCCCTTAGTAGAAACGCACTTGCACCCAAAAGTTCTGTGCACTCCCGATCCCAGAGTATGAACGAAGCATGACCAGTCGAATCATATACTCGAACATTGACCTTGAACCAATAAATAATGGTGTTAGGTCATGTGATCTTTAACCTACTGCTAATTATGGGAACATATTCACTTGAAACACTCTCTAATTTAGTTTACCTGTAGACTCCGTGCGGCATGGTAAAGTCACAACCTGAACACCTGAATTTATCACCATCAGGAATGACCTTTTTGTTGCAATCAGTGCACCCTAAGTAGCACCAGTCACCCGAGTCATGAATCGATGCTATGTTCCCAACAACCCAGTAGGGGCCAGGCTGCACATACAACAAAGATACATTTCAATAAGTGCATTGTACATTAAATGTACAATATTGACTTCTTTTATATTAGGAAGATGTGTTCATACATGTCATTTTTCAAAGTCACTAATCTTAAAGTTGTAATTGTATGCAACAAATGTTTAGATTGTAGTGCTTTACTCTAATTATTAAATTTTGACCTTTGTGGTGTCCAATAGAGCCTTGATTGTGGTAGTCTTCACAACACCTTCTTCCCCATATGCTCCACCGCTTAGAACGATACTACCTTCGTCCACCTGTGGAGGTAACCTGGTTCCATTTAACAACGCATTAGATTAGTAAATATAAACAATGGACATTGTTCATTTTTATACATATTGAATTAATATACCTGGCTCTAAATCCAGTGACCTCATCAGAATTACCATCGAACAGCATCTTTGTAACATGAAACGCAGTAGAGACAGTGACAGCACCTATAAACATACGATGTAATTTAAATAGTTAGTTTACCCCTATAACGCCATGGGTGGCAAAAACGAAATAATGTAAATAGTTAGTTTACCCCTATAACGCCTTGGGTGGCAAAAACTCAACAGCATGACAACCGGCTCATGGGCATTCTGGGTCAAACATCCCAGAAAACACATGGATGGCAAGGCAGCATATGATTCTTGAACTGTCCCAAAACAAATTTCCAGAGCCTTCTCTTTAGAAAACCAAGCCTTCTTATAAGTCATTTCAATTCCATGCTCCCTACGCATGTCGGAAAGAATAGATTTGGGGGGGTACGGCTTCGTTGTTGCATCACAAAATTTGTGTTTAACAAGCTCTGCAATAATGTGATACGTAGCTTGACGTGTTTTGCCTTGGCGCGCATCGATGGGGCATTGATGTTCACGATTGTACCTAGAGGGAAAAACACATGAATGATATCATTAACATGCAGAATTTGTGAGGGTAAGAAGATGTATTACTTTGTTAGTAGGTGATGTTTGGTTCATAAAAGAACATAATTTCCTGAATAAGGCAGTGGCATGTTACGGCATTAACAGATATAGGCATTAACATGAAGCATTTTTAAGTCATTAACATGGATTGGGAGTAGACCTATGGGGTCGTTCAAAGTCTGTAAAA